CTTTTCTTTTCATTTTATTTGTGACAGCTGTAATGGATTTCGTTTAACTGTGCTGTGGCATTTTTGTCCTAAGCCTCTGTTAATTTCCATCCCCTGGACAGGGCCTTGCCCACCCTTACACACACTTGCCTATGCATGTGCTTATGCGCTTGTGCACATTAATACTCAGTTATGTGTTTTTATTTTTAAAATGTGCTGATATCTAAATGCTTACCCTACAGCCAGACTGCAGCGGAACTCAGACAGAAAAGTTCCCATAGACAGAGAGAAACTTCCAGGCATAAGCAAACAAATCTGTGAGTTTGTCTTGACACTTTTTCTCAGACTTAAGATGTTACCACTGAATCATCACTTCATTTAATGTTAGCTATCATTTCCTTTTTAATCCAGTGGAGGATGTGAGACTGCTTCAGCCTGTTTCGTTTAGTTGGTCTAATCTTGAATGGACAAAACAACATCAAAACAGACCACAAAGGGATAGGTATGAATTGTGTAACTAGTCCATATTTCATAAGGAATAGAATTTATAATTTCTCTAAATAATCTATAACTAATCAATTTATAGTTATAATTTGAAACATTCCTAATAAAATCCACTGACAGCCCTATCTGATTTATTAAAATATAATACATTTATTAATACATGTTATATTGAGAATTTTAATTATTGTCTTACATGCTTGCCAGTTGTTCAGTAGTGTTTAACAATATATATATATATATATATATATATATACACACACACATACACGTTTTTTTAATCTTTCAGAAATGTCCAAAGTCAGCAAAGAGGAAGACAATGCCAAGTACCATCACAAACCAAACTCGCATAGCAAATGGTGGACATCTACCAAAATCAGTGTTTAAATAAATGCATGTTTACTTTAAATAAAAAAAATGAATGCATTGCAGATGTTTCCTTCTCAATAATAAATAAATAAATACAAATGTTTTGTGATTATTTTATTAGTCCCTGCATTATTAATGTGTTTGTGTTCATTCATAAAGTGGATTAACGTATCCAGTCCATAAGAGGTCACTATAGAGAGTATGTCGCTTGTTACTCATTACACATTTTCTTCGCTGCACATGCGGAAGTTTCACAGCCATAACAAAGCGAAGCTGAAGGTTCCATACCAGTTTGGAGGTTATAGCCCATAATTATTGCAGGATGGTCAATCTCGGTCTCACTAAAGTTGATGATGCGGTTGTAGCAAAGCACCCGGTGCGTATACTGTATATCATAATGCGTGACTGCTGCTTGACCGATGTGACATTTTCACCATCATTTACTGCCATAAATGTAATTCATAGAGGAGTCTGGGGCATGTTGTCACTCTGTTTACTCCAATGAAAACCACTTTATGTACAGACACATAATGAACTAAAGGAATAAACTCTTATTTCCACAGTTCTTGCCTATTAAAAATTATAAAGTTATTATCAAATGTAAACCAGCAGTTTATTGACAATTAATTAAATTATTTGAGACGAATACATTTTGTCTATGAAAAATTTTTTACAGTTCAACCTCTTATTCAAAGTCAACCTCCATTGACTTTATAAAAGTCAACCTCCATTATATATTTGATTTGTTTGAGCGCATTCTGGAGTTTTAGTGGAAAATGGACTTGATGCTTAACAATAAAGTGTGTGAAACCATTATACAAATCTTCTGCTAGAGAAACACATTTATGCCAAGTCAAGTCACCTTTATTTATATAGCGGTTTATACAATAAAGATCATCAAAGCAGCTTTACAGTGTTAAACTGAAAAAGACATGTGCTGATAATGCAAAAGGACAATAGAAAAGTCAGTTTTTCAGTTAATTTTGGTTCATAATTTATTCAGCGATGTCATCATCCAGCTCAGTTCAGCTCTCTTCAAATAGTGTCTGTGACAGTATTGCACATAAATTGTGTCCCCAACTAAGCAAGCTAAAGGCGACAGTGGCAAGGAACCAAAACACCATTGGTGACAGAAATGGAGAAAAAAATCTTTGGGAGAAACCAGGCTCAGTTCTCCTCTTGCCAGACGAAACCAGCAAGGTGTGGATTAATTCTAGGCTGCAACGCAAGTCAGATTGAGCAGAGGACTCGTCTGGTTCCCGTGGTTGTGTGCTGATGGCCGTCGAGGTGACAAGGTCTTTGCAGGGGATCTGTCTCGGGCTCATCTAGTTGACATGGTCTCCGCTGACATTCAGGGCTGTAGAGGTCATCTCTAGATGCTGATCCACCATCTGGTCTGGATATGGACTGGATCTGGGTGGCTACGGTGACCTCGGAATAAGAATGAAATAGACTAATACTAGCATAGATGCCATTTTTATTCCGGTGTAGTCAGTGGCATTTATGCTACTAGGCTTTTGTTTTAAAGGCAAGGCTACTGCGATATAGCCTAGCTATTGTGACAACTAGCCCCAGTCTCCCCTGAGCTTACATCACAATAACTCCATAGTGATGATATCTCATTTTCCTCAGGGTTTGCAGCAGTACGCCGCTTGTCAGTCTTACGCCTTTATGAAAGGCACAGCAAGCTTCATACTGGGTTAGTGTCATATTCACATTAAGAAGAGGTTGTGTCTGATCATTATGAACAATTAGTGTTTGTGAAAGTAAATGACAAATAAGAATGCTTTAATATCTTTTTGGTAACGCTTTAGTTTAGGGACCAATTCTTACTATTAACTAGTATTAGCATGCATATTACTAGCATACTGTTTTTTAGTACTTATAAAGAAAAACATCAATGCCTTATTCTGCCTGACCATATTTTAGAACCCTTAATCCTACCCCATACCTAAACTTAGCAACTACCTTACTAACTATTAAAAAGCAGCAAATTAGGAGGTTATTGAGGCAAAAGTCGTAGTTAATCGTTAGTTAAAAGTGAGAATTGTTCCTTAAACACAGTGATTAAAGATTTTTGCTAAAGTTCCTTTGTGAATTAGATTTTTTCTACTGAGAAAGAACAAAATGGTACACTCTAAAAAATGCTGGGTTAAATACAACCCAGTGCTGGGTAAAATAGGGACAAACCCAGCAATTGGGCTGTTTTGACCCAGTGGTTGGGTTAGATGTTTAACCCAACCTTCTGGGTAGTAACCCAACCACTGGGTCAAAACAACCCAATTGCTGGGTTTGTCCTTGTGTTACCCAGCACTGGGTTGTATTTAACCCCGCATTTTTTTTTTTTTGTGTAATCTTACATGTGTGTTCTCTAGAGATTCAAAAGAAATCTAAACAGTATCTCATACTCAGATTTGCAAAGATACCTTATCAAATCCAAGATATCAGTATGAACAACTATTTTTCTTCAAATCCTTTCTGGTCAGTTTATCTTGAGTTATGCCATCCATATTCATTTTTGAATCTGTACTTTGGTGTATGTAATGTCTCATTTGCGTTTGACTTATAAGGAACTTTGGGGGAAACATCTGAGACAAATTTACCTTATATGAAATATATATATATATATATATATACAGTGGTGTGAAAAAGTGTTGGCCCCCTTCCCGGGTTTTAATTTTTTTGCATATTTGTCACACTTAAAAGATTCAGATCATCAAACAAATGTTAATATTATACAAAGATAATGCAAGTAAATACAAAATGCAGTTTTTAAATGATTATTTATTTTATTAAGGGAAAAAAGCTGTCCAAACCTGCCTGGCCCTACGTGAAAAAGTAATTGCCCCCTAAATCTAATAACTGGTTGTGCCACGCTTTGCAGCAACAACTGCAATCAAGTGTTTGCGATAACTGGCAATGAGTCTTTCACATCGCTGTGGAGGAATTTTGGCCCACTCTTCTTTGCAGAATTGTTTTAATTCAGCCACATTGGAGGGTTTTCGAGCATGAATGGACTGTTTAAGCATCTCAATCGGATTTAAGTCCGGACTTTGATTTGGCCACTCCAAAACCTTAATTTAGTTTTTCTTGAGCCATTCAGAGGTGGACTTGCAGATTCAGTATTCCTCAAAATGAATAAAAATAATGCAACTCAGAATATGACGCAAACCTGCAATAATTAAATGTTAAACAACACAAATATCCTTTATGTATTTAATCCCATTCTATTAACCAATGTCTTTGCTTCTGACCTTCGATGATCCAGTTCAACCATACTAACAAGCACAAATTGCTCTAGACAAACATTTGTGTGTCTTATTTTATTGCTGAAGTGTGTTGAAATGTCGTCTTCTGCATTCTACTGTACAGACGTAAATTTACTTTCCCTTCAGCCTGAGACTTATTCATTTCACTTTTGGTGTGAAAAGGCTTTTATATTTGCCAAAAATAGAACTTTTTTATTTTAAAAACAAACAAGTAAGCCCTGTCCAGATGTAAAAAGTAACGTAACGCATTACTTTCCATAAAAAGTAACTAAGTACTGTAATTAGTTACTTTTTTATGGAGTAACGCAATATTGTAATGCATTACTTTTAAAAGTAACTTTCCCCAACACTGGTAATAACACAGTAGGGGTGCACATCAACTGCCTGAAGGTGTCACTTGACGTTATTCACAACCGTCCAATCAGAGGACATGTAACAAAGGCTGGGGCGATGTCTCTGTTTTGATTGGTTAAGAGGTCGGGCCGGGATGAAGGACGCGCCCCGGCGAACGCAGCATGACATTCATACTCAGCAAAATTTCCGAGCATCGCATGACTGGGAGGAGGATTACAGAAGATACACGTCTGCTTCTTACTGTAACTGTAGAAAAATTACATTGTAAAAGTATTTGTCAGTTATCTTAGCAAATGCATTATTAATAAGCTATTTTATTCGCTGGCTGCTAAAAAAAAAAGTAGGCCTAGAGTTTTTTGTTTAAAGTGAAATCGAAGAGCGGTTTCCGGGAATTCCGCGACTGAAACATGGATTTCGTTCTCGGCGGAGCCGCTGCGTGTGGCGCCTGCTTTTTCACAAACCCTCTGGAGGTGGTCAAAACGAGAATGCAATTGCAAGGAGAGCTTCATTCATACTCAGCAAAATTTCCGAGCATCGCATGACTGGGAGGAGGATTACAGAAGATACACGTCTGCTTCTTACTGTAACTGTAGAAAAATTACATTGTAAAAGTATTTGTCAGTTATCTTAGCAAATGCATTATTAATAAGCTATTTTATTCGCTGGCTGCTAAAAAAAAAGTAGGCCTTGAGTTTTTTGTTTAAAGTGAAATCGAAGAGCGGTTTCCGGGAATTCCGCGACTGAAACATGGATTTCGTTCTCGGCGGAGCCGCTGCGTGTGGCGCCTGCTTTTTCACAAACCCTCTGGAGGTGGTCAAAACGAGAATGCAATTGCAAGGAGAGCTGAAAAGCCGAGGAACCTACCAAGTGTATTATAGAAATGTGTTTCACGCCTTCTACACGATAGGCAAAATAGACGGACTGGCTGGTCTTCAGAAAGGTTTGGTCCCCGGGTTGGTTTATCAGTTTGTTATGAATGGGGTCCGGCTGGGGTCTTACGCCATCATCGAGTCATTGGGCTACATTCACACGGACGGAAGGGTCAGCGCTACCAAGAGCATAGTGTCCGGGGCCATCGCCGGTGTGGTGGGCGCTGTAATGGGGAGCCCGATTTACCTGGTGAGCACCGAGAATAGTCTCTGTTTCTGTCTAGTAAACAACTGATTTAAGCACGTGTTTAGTGACGGCCAGTGCGGTCACTCTGAATATGATCAACGAGTAAAGTAGAGCTGTCGATTACAAAGAGAGCACAATGATGGAACGCCTTTAAAATAGCCGCTATACGCAGATCTGTGACCTACATGAGGCGTAGCTTGACGTTTGAGCTGGGGGGGCCCAAACCGAACCGGTGGATTTGGTCAGACGTACTTCTAAACACATTTTAGTTTGGCTATAGTTAATCTGCATATTCATATTCACATAGAGCAGTGGCAAGTGCGTGAGGTTGTCATGGTAACCACATACATTGCCCACGAATTACAGCTGCGCTTCTATTTTGCCACACTAAACTTAGCAATAAACACGTTTAATGCACAATAAACATGTCTGTCAAAACGATCTCAGCTTTTATTAAGCAAATCAATGAAGAGTGAATTACTCATCCACTGTTGGCTTGATTCAAGTTAATGCACAATGCGGCGCACACTTTTTATTTAGTCTTATTGAATAGACGATATAACAGTTTATATTCTAAAATCTATTTAAAGGTTGTGTTCTGTGAAAATTGTCTATTATCCACCAAAATGCAGATTCCTCACGTGACAATTCTTACGCAAATGAGATTGAGGGAGACGTTAAGTTTGTTTTGATTTATTAATTTACTTACAACAACAATTTAAAATGTATTAACTTTTACGTATTCACTTTTACATGTATTATTAACTGCATTATATACATTTTTACTTAATAGAAAAAACGTTATAAATAAATATTTAGTAAAATTCTTAAATCGCTATGGGGGAGCCAGGCCCCCCACAACCCCCCCCAAGCTACGCCCATGGCCCGGGCTACATAATGAATTTTATTTTATTGCTCCAAGTTCCCTCGTCGCTTATCAACCGTAAACAGACTAATGTACTCTATAATTAGGAGAAAATATATTACTATAAATGATTGTATGATTATTATAACAAAGTTATAAAACTATTTATAAATATTTCAGTATATTCATAAATAGTTGCTTTTGGGTTCCATTCACTGAAAGTAGATTATTTATACTGCCAAGGTCCAAAATGGACAAAAAGCACCAAGTGGCTTTAGTTTACCAGCAGTTTAACAACTTTCTCACTTTCTATTTGTTATTTCTTTCAGGTAAAAACACATCTCCAGTCTCAATCCACTTCCTCTATTGCAGTTGGACACCAGTATAAGCACAGGGTAAGTTAATGGTCACCTCACAGAATCATCTAACATGAAATCAGATTTATTATTTCCTTCTTTGAATGTGACTTGAGAACTTTGATCTTCAAGTTGACTGATCCTAGGGTTGTGGAGTTTTTTTTATTTTTTTTTATGTTAGACCCCATCACATTTGTGGTAATGTACAATTAATGTACAGAGTGTGGTTATGTTTGCATATCAGGAACCAGTTTGAATCTAAGATCACACTGCGACTGTTATACATTTCTTTGCTTTTTCTTTGTGTCAGGGAATGATGCATGCTCTATTGGCCATCCACAAACAGCATGGAATTCTGGGTTTGTGGAGGGGTGCAAGTGCGGCAGTCCCAAGGGTCAGTGTGGGGTCAGCTGCTCAGCTCTCTACTTTCTCTGCCTCTAAAGAGCTGGTCACTGACCTACAGGTGAGCATAGGATATTTCACTTCAGCTGGGAGTTATTCACACTGAGAATAGAAAGAGAGGGTTGACACCTATTCTTACAGACACTAGTTAAGCTTTTCCCATAAACTGTTGAGATCAACACCTGTTAATAAATATGACAAAACACTGTTTGATCAGTTTCAAAACACTGTCTGCGTAAATTAGCCTTAGCGATCCAACTCAGTCATAATATGTCTGTGTAGGACAGTACAGAGGCCAGTGTTTTAGTTAATCTGCTTTTTTATATTTTTATCATTTAACACATCATCTTATTAGAGATGTCCATTTAGCCTTGGACCCCATTAACTCAAACTTTTTGTCTTTTAGTCATTCATGTGTGTTAGTTTTGAGGTTATTAATATGTTGGTACACTAATAAAAGTTGACAAAACAAACATTAAAAGGTAAAAGGTAATACACATATAAACGCATCTTTCTTTTCATGGAAAATGGACCAAGACTATTTTTTCCATGGGCATATACATATTTTTATTCAATAAATCCCCTCCCCCCACCTCAAAACACCTGCCGTGACTAGAAATATTGTAGATAATAACTGTGTTCTACAGTAAACTACTAGCATGCCCTTTGACATGTCCTGCCACATCTTTCTGTTTTAAAAGAAAATATGTCAACAATGGAAAGACAGTTGTGTCATGAAAAACATGTTTTAAGCAAACCTTGTATTTAGGGCATTGGGCTATTGCATTGCTACAGTTAATTTAACACTTGCTTGATCTTACTACTACTACTAGGGATTTTCATATTTTAGTTACTAGTAATTTATAAAGCAAAGGGAATTGAATATGAATACACCCACCTATAGTTTAACCATTAGGACATGGCAAAAATAGGTGATCTAAATACAAAATAAAGATCAATATTTAGGTGTTTGTCATTTTTGTGACAAAGACCAACAAATGAATGGAAGGTATTGGTATTCTATTCGAAAGTCATGAGAAACTGTTATAGTTTGCTTTATAAATTTTTTGTATAAATACTGTATATAAAAGTATTACTGGGCTTTCTGAGAATGACCTCAGAATTGGGGAAAAAAAAAAGATTCCATAGGTGTTACAAATCTACAAAAACAAACTGCACCTGAAATCACCTGAATGACATAACAGGTACAGTTTTATCAACATCATCAGTTCATAGAAGAGTGGAAAGAAAGTGTGGCAGGAAAGCAGCTTGAGTACATGATGACAGAACTGCCATTTTTGGGAAATCTATACCTTTAACTGTAGAAGTACAGTCTTAATACAGTGACATGTTTTGTTAGTAATCTGTGTTGTTTTTTCTGTATTTGTAGGTGTTCTCTGAGGGCAGCTGGTTAATAGCTCTGAGTGCTGGTATGATCAGTAGTGTAGTGGTTGTATTAGCTATGACTCCTTTTGATGTGGTCAGCACTCGACTCTACAACCAGCCTGTGGACCATGTGGGCAAGGTGATCTCCTATCAAGCTGTCATCATTGTTGAAATTGATAAAGCTGGTAATAAAAGGCATTAATCTCTTTCTCTGTACTTTTCTCCTGCAGGGCATATTGTACCGAGGTTTTGTGGACTGTTTCTCTAAGACGTTGAAGAAGGAAGGCATGTCTGGTTTGTATAAAGGTCTCGGAGCCTCCTACTTCCGCATCGGACCTCATACCATCCTTTCCCTACTTTTCTGGAATGAATTGCGCACTTTGTACCATAGCTACAGTTAGCGTCTCGCTATTGCCTGCAACAGCAAAATATCAATAGTGTTTCCCTGATTTGGTAATTAAAGAAGCAATCGAGCACTAAGGTACGAAAGGTGCTTGCTATATTGTGAATATAGTCACAGCTAAAAGGTGTCATTAGACACAACGTGCAGCAGAGTGCTCATTACTTTTATAAAATAGTTACTACATACTAAATATATATTTTTTATTCAAACATTATTTTATTAAGCATTCATATGGCAGCCTTCCACTAGAAGATTTAGGTAGCCAGGACTGGAATTTAAATTTTTTCAAATAAAAATAAATAAATAAAACTCAATTACAATGTACTGTATGTAGCAGGATGGAATATTTACTTGATCATTATGTTGTTATACAAACACACTCCAGTGAATATGCATATGGTTTTATAGAGGCAGAGCACATGTACACTTCTGTTTAATTATGCAAATTAAGTTAGTGAATTCCTGGTTCTGATTGGCTTCACATGTTCCAAGGGCATTGATTGTTAACTGAATGATTAATTTGCTATAACTACAAAGTAGTACCAACTTATTAACCACATTACAGTTCAGGATGACTTCATCACATTTTTTTTCTGAAGTTTTGCATCTTGGGAAAGATACTTAATTGATAGCATAAGGAAGCAGTTTTGCACAAAATTATTTTATGTCATTCATTCCTGGTTCTGATTGGCTTCACATGTTCCAAGGGCATTGATTGTTAACTGAATGATTAATTTGCTATAACTACAAAGTAGTACCAACTTATTAACCACATTACAGTTCAGGATGACTTCATCACATTTTTTTCTGAAGTTTTGCATCTTGGGAAAGATACTTAATTGATAGCATAAGGAAGCAGTTTTGCACAAAATTATTTAATGTCATTAATTTTTAAATCATCGTTTAAAAAAAAATACACTTATTTTTAATTACATTTTTTTTTTACTTTTGACCCTTTCCTAAAGAATAAATGTAATCCACTGCATCAGAATCACATGGTTGAACAAATGTATTTTACTCTACTATTAATCACATTATGTACTGTAAATGTTTAGTTCTCACACAGATTGTGTAGAATGACTGTAACACAACTGTTTTTTTCCATTTGTTTTTTTTTTCTTTGACTTTGACATTGACAACTATAATTATTAATCATGTTTGGAAGGACAAAGACTTACTTTTGAGTAGTTAGAAGTTGGAATGAAGTTGCACTACATCTGACTGGTTAAAAAATAACAATAGCATTTTCTCAACCTTTTTTTGTGTCTTGTTTGCCAATGTCTTTAATGTAAGAATGTCTACTTTGTTTCAATTTTGGTTCCTTGGGTGGAACATAAATTTACAAAGCAACCGATATAACCCTTATCACTTTTGGTTGTACAATTAACAGTTTCATGTCATGTTCTTAAATATTCTTTGAGAACATGACATAATTTGCAAAGAATATTAGGACAATAAGACAATTAGGAGAATAAGACTATTATGGGGGACCGAATAATGGTCACCATTTGCCTTACATTACATGTGCTGTACTGAATGAGCTGTTTGATGCTTTAGAGAAACTAATGTAACATTAAATTATTTACTAAGAGATTTAAATTATATAGGTACATAATGGGTTTGTAACATAAGATAATAAATAATTTGAGAATAAACTATTTTTAAAAGAATGACTTGTTTTCTATATACATGACATTAACACTGCAATATGTTGTCTTTTAAGTACAAATACACGACTGATAATCTCAGATTAAAAGTTTTTTGGACACTTAATTCACACTTAGAAATGTCTGAATGTCATTGTATTAATCAAGCCAACAAGTGGCATTAAGGAAATACGCCTAAACCTTTTTTTAAACAATTTTTTTTACTGTTAATCATCTGGTCCCAAGGTAATTTTTAATGCATTTATGAAGACAGTTTTCTATAGGTTTACAAGTGTAGTTTAACTATGGGCATATTCTACTTGCATCAAAATACATTTTGTTTTCATTTTGATCCCTGTACCTGTAGGTTTATCATTTACAACCTTGTTGGGAAAGGTTCTGATTGTGCTATTTTTTAAATAAAGGCCCAAAAATTATACATTTCTTAATAGTGCTTACACTCTTTCAGAATGATAGGCAAGTTAAAGATAAGTGAGTGAAAGTGTCTTACATTTCAGAGTAACTCGGGAAAACCTGAGTTTCAACATGGAGTGTCAGTTAAGTTGTTAAACATTAGATTTGTGGTCAAGTAATGGAGATGTTTGAATCTGCAAACAAAAGACAATGATGACTGCAAACTTTTAAGAGAACCACAATAAAACTCCAGAGAAATGTTACTGAACTAAATATGTAACAAGTTGAGTAAAGACTGGATTTCAAATGTGAGTCAGTTTCAGGAAGACAATGTTTTCTTATTATAAAAAAAATATTTATTTTTGCTTTTTACCAATAACTCAAGATTCTATATTTGTACATCCTCACTTATGAATCAGACAAATGCTAAGCCTTGTACTTGCACTTCAAAGAAAAAAATATTTTATAGAGGCTCTAGCTTTCTAGCTGTGTTTCAGCCTGTTTAACCTGTTAACGTTTTTTAATTTGTTCAGTCACTGTAAAGGCATAACTGTAAAAGTCTCTGGGGAAAAAAGCTTTTTAATGGAAACCAACTGCATTTAAATGTGTACGTGAAGCATCTACCCGAACACTCCAGGGTCAAGTAGACAGAATGACTGCAGAACACCTTTGAAGTCCTGTAGTGTCCATGGTTTAGCAGCCACATTTTCAACGGCACTGCTGCTGAGGGGGCTGAGAGAGAAGATTTAACATCAAACCTCTTGTTCTATACATATTAGGATCTTGATTACATTTCAACATCTATTAATAATTCCATTTAAATCATCAGGGTAATCATCCAGTGTATGGGGGGAAAAATATTGGTTTAACGGTCCATTAAACTTTATATTAAGTGGCCCTAATACCTGTTTACTTACATAGTAGCTAGATCTGTACGTAGTATGTAACCACAGCGTAAGTACACATTGGTACATAGTATCTACAGCTGTAATATTTCTGTAACTACACACATGTAACAACCCTCCGAATGGTTTGTGTAAGTACAAATGTGTAACAGGACATATATAACTACATTTTGTAACAAAAATATGTATAAGAGTAATTGGAACCATTTGGTCCAGGGGGTGGAGATGAGTAGGTTTAGGGATATGTAAAGTGGGAAGAGTTGGATCTCAAGTTGGTGGAGTTGGTGCACCACTGTAATACCAGTGTACTTACATGGTAACTCCTCAGGAACGGTCCACTTAATATAAAGTGTAACATTCTGGACACCAACCACAATTTATATGTAAAGCCTAACTTACTTACGCTTCCATAGGAATTGTTTACTTAATATAAAGTGTAACACTATCTTTACCAAAAAGTGCTGTTAGTCCTGTTACACATTTGTACTTTCATTACCAAAAAGTGTTGTTACCTATGTCCTGTTACACATTTGTATTTACACATACCATTCAGTGGGCTGTTACATATGTGTAGTTACAGAAATATTACAGCTGTAGATACTATGTACCAATGTGTACTTACACTGTGGTTACTTACTATGTACACATCTAGTTACTATGTAAGTACACAGGTATTAGGGCCACTTAATATAAAGTGGGACCAGTTTGACTTTCTATATATTTAACCAACTCACTTGATACAAACAGGATCGTTAAACGTCACTAAGATGTCAGTGGTGTACTGCGGCAGACGAAACAAGCACAGGTGAATGTTCACAGTGTTCTTGGCCTACAAACAAATATAATGTAAGCTGATGAAAGGAACAAAAATGAATAACTAGAAAGTTAAATGCTGTTTGTTTTAGGCATACTAAAGATTAACCATGTCCAACTGATTAATCGTCTTGATTAATATTCTGGTGTATGTATGGCCTTTTCCTTTTTTTATTGGATAATTGTTTTTACACAGTGCTAGATTTAGAACCTTTGTTTTTGGCTAAATAATTATGTTCGCTGGCTTCAGTGTTGTCTGGGGCACATTAACATTTCCACTCCAAATGCAATGTAATAAAGACACACCTCCTCATTGAATTTAGAGACCAGCTGAGCTCCAGACAGTAGCCAGGCAGAGCTGCATTCCTGCATTGTTAGCTCTGACTGAGGGACCTGCTCCACCCCTCTGACCTCCCAGGAGCCGTTCTCTACCGCCTTGTTACTTGCGGCCACGTCCTCAAAGTGATACCTATTACAACACGAACCAGAAAAACAAGGTTATTCATACCTGTGCATTCCCATTATGAAGTAATTTAATAATTTATTTCCTGATGTGTCCAGTGAACACAGACGAATTTAAGGCAGCCATTCTTGCAATGGACTTATGTGTTATAATTTATATATAAAAGCACACACTGAGAAATAAGCCCCAATGTTAACTGCTGCAGGCAGGTTGGAGTTCAAACCTAAACCTGTCTGACCTTTTGAAATCTGTAATGGTGTCATTTCACGACTTCTGTGTGTGCTTTTTTTAATTTATTTTTTTACAAATTAAATCTACCTAGCTTTTATTATTTGTTTTGTACCTTTGTTATGAACAAGCAATCACACAGGAGATGTATGCCAAGAGTTGTTGTTCTGTTAAGAGACCACACGTTACCTGGCTGCGTCAGCGTCTTGCACTTGGCTTTGGTACTCCAGCAGTTCAATGATAATACTCTGATCTGTCCGAGCGTGAGCAAACACTTCTTGATTATCAGGGATCTGTCTCAGTTCACTGCAGACAATGGGGAAGAGAATGACAGGTTTTTAATATACAAATCAGTTAAACTTGAGCTTTATTAAAGCAAACAGCATGCACAACAGAAGGGTGGGTTTGTAAATGGCGCCAACCTCAATGGAACAACTGTGATTTTGCAAAATAACATAATTCATTTGTTGCTAGTCAACTGTGGGCTGTCCAAGCAACTGACTTATTAATATAAAACAGACGTTTTGTGACAGGTGTACATAGTACTACACTAGCTGTTTCTGTACATGTTTTTTTTTACATTTCTATATAATTACCTGATATCCTGGACACTGGGGGGAATAACAGCTGATAATGCACCACCAAACAGAGGCCGGGCCAAACTGCAAAACTAATGGAATGCATAGTTGATATTAAAAATTGGATAACTAGTAACTTTCTATTGCTAACTTGTCATTATTGGACCAAAAACCTTCACATGCAATAACCTAGAATGTTCCGTCAAGTCTAAGATGACTAAGAATATAAAGTTAGGAACCTGGTTGAGCTGTTTGATAGCAGTCTTTTAATTTAAAGGTCAATCTGACCATTAGGCAGTCACATTTATGGTTTGAGTGTTTGACATATAACCTGAAGGTTGTGGGTTTGATTCTCAGTACTGGCAGGAAATGAAGGTTGTAGGAATGAACAGCGCTCTCTTCCACCTTCAATACCCCAAACTGAGGTGCATTTGAGCAAGGCACCTAATTGATCACTGCTGTGTGTGCACTTGGATGAGTTAAATGCAGAGCACAAATTCTGAGTAAGGGTTACTACACGTCACTTCTAGCATATGTTTTTTCCATCTTAAATGCATACACTCTTAAAAATAAAGGTGCTTCACGATGCCATAGAAGAACCTTTTTGTCTAAATGGTTCCATAAAGAACCTTTAACATCTGAAGAACCTTTCTGTTTCACAAAACGTTCTTTGTGGTGAAAAAAGGTTCTTCAGATTATAAAACGGTAAGAAAGAGATGGTTCTTTAAAGAACCTTTGACTGAATGGTTCTTTGTGGAACCAAAAATGGTTCTTCTATGGCATCGCTGTGAAGAACCTTTTGAAGCACCTTTATTTTTAAGTGTAGTTCACTCAAAAACTTAGATTTGTTATCCCAATTCAAAGTTAAACTCAAAACTCACTTATTCAGAATAGCTTATCACTGTCTACATACTTTTATTTTTTTAAACTGCTCTTTTTCTTTTTTATGGTTCATCAATATTGTCAAGTCAAGTCAAGTCACCTTTATTTATATAGCGCTTTTAACAATACAGATTGTGTCAAAGCAACTGTACAGCATTAATTA